AGACTCGTCGGAGCGAACGCTCGGAGCCCGGCGTGGGAGCGTGGGGCCTGGAGAGACGCGGGAAGAAGGGTGAGCGTTCCCAGTTCCGTATTTAAAAAGCAGGCTTTAGGACGCTGGCGCTGTGGTTCAGTGATAGGGCGCTTGCCTAAGAGCCTGAGTTTCTAAGCACCCTCAAAAATAAAGCGTGCTTTCCACTGATGTGAATAAACACTGTGAGAAAGAGGTAGGGACTGAGAGGGTGTTAAAAGTGCAAGCGAAGCACTTGGGAGGCAGAGGCAGGAGGATATTTGTGAGGTCTATATAGTGAGTTCCAGGATAGCCAGAGCTACACAGAGAAACCCTATCTCGGAAAACAAAAAACAAACAAGCAAAACAAAACAAAAAAGCGTGCAAGTGAGTTGCAGTACAGTTGCATCCTAAGGCGGTCCTTTAATCCCTGCACTCAGGAGGCAGAGGCAAGCTGATCTCTTGGGATTGAGGCCAACCAGGGCTACATGTGAGACCCTGTCTGAATAAAACAAAACAAAAACATACAAGTGAGTGTGTAAAAACCGTGGTCTGCATCCTGCCCAGGGTAGTCTCCATCCTGCTCAGGGTGGAACTCAGGAATTCCCTTGGAGTAACAGTCTTCCAGGCACAGATCTGCTCCAGCCTTTCCCCCAACTGATCACATAAACAAACCCCTTTTGGCCCCCAGCCCTGCCCCTAGAGCTTCTTCTCCCAGGGAATCCTCTTCTAGACCCATCTTCCAACCCAGTCACCATACAGTCAGTGGGGGTCTGACCACAGGTGGCTATGAGCCCATTTTCTTCGATAAGTGGTCCCAGCCATACTTCGTTGTTTTCCTAACCCCGGCCTAGACTATCTCAGCCCAGAGCCTGCGAACCAGGCAGCCTGTGTTTGTGACATTCAGTAATTAAATGCATGGCCACAAGTCAAAAGCTCTGGAAGTGCAGAGTGGGGTCTCTGGTGGTGACTCTGGGAATGGCACCTTTAGGCAAGTTCCCTGGGCTGGGCTGAAGAACAGGAGAGAAATGGCCAGGTGCTGATCCTGGTATTTCTCTCTTCTTAAAGATTTACGATTGCTATTTTATTTATGTGTGCATGTGATCGCCACGAGTGTATAGGTACCACCGGATCCAGACGAGGATGTTGGACTCCTGGGAGCTGGAGTCACAGGCAGTTGTGAGCCGGCAGATGTGGGTGCTGGGAACCAAACTCAAATCCCCAGCAAGAACAGGAAGCACTCCTGAGTGCTGAGCCATCGATCCAGGCCTCTACTTTTTGTTTTGTTTTTTGGAAAACATGTCACTATGAAGCATACACACATGTAAATAAATTAGGCATTGATAGAGGAAAGCATCTCAGACATGGCCCTTCCTTGTCCAAAGAGAGTAAAGACTATGGAGGAGCCCTTTTCACATAGAGACAGGCACACTGGTCTAAATCTGTTCCGTGATTACAGCTGTCAGTTACCTGAATCCTGTCTGTAGAATGCCCTGTTTTTCCTTGAGCAGATTTTCCTGCAAGGACGGACAGTTGAGTCTCAGGTGACTTTACTGAAGTTACAGGACCGGTTTTGTGGCTACCTGCTTGTAAAGGTTTGTGTTGTGGATATCTGTATGGGCCTCAGAATATGTGTGGAGATTTCTCTTGGTAATCACTTGGCAGGGACATTTAGAGGGAAGCTACCCTTTGTCACTAATGGCTGATGGATGATGGAAGGAGTAGAACCTCAGAATTACATAGCTAATGTCCTTGGGTGAAATCTGCAGCAATGACACTGAACCCATGACCCTGCCTGTGTTTCCTCATCTGTGAAACAATGAGACTGGACTGTTTCTATCCAGCTCCAGCAACCTTAGGCTTCTTAGTCAATAGTCAGTCAGTGAATGTGCATAGTGCTTTGAGCCCTGCAGGGATCTAAGGAAATGATCAGAAATGTAGACCAAAGAATGTGTGTCCTATTGAGGACTGGGGAATGTAGTTTCATGCAACACAGGAACAGGAACACACACACACACACACACACACACACACACACAAGCTCACCCATGTACAAAAGCACAGAAGAGGTTAACTTCAGACACAGGTGTGTACTAATGATATAATGAGCTTCCCAGTGGAAGAATGATGGGTGCAAGGGCCAGTACACAAGCTTCCCGGAGATCCGAAGGGGGCGGGACCAGAGGCTAGGAAGAAATTCTTGTATCTTTCTTAACTTTGCAACTTCTGCCTAGCGGTTGAAGTCAAACCAACCCAAAGGGATTCTGTTTTCTTCCCCTTATAGTGCAGGCCTCTGGTAAGGTTCATTGGGGCAAGTGACTGTAACACGAGAAATAAAAGACCCAGACACTGATTCTGGGGTTCAAGCTTCAAACTGAAGATCAGAAAAGCAAAGTAGCTGGCCACTAGCTTCTTACCTCTGCCTCAGGCTGAATGGACTGATCCTATCTCCAGGAGCTGTCACCAAGCCTCAGACTGTAAGCTCTCCTCATCATGGCTGGAGAATGAATTCCTCTACTGAAACCTTGTTTCTGTCTTGCATACTTCCCTAATGTTGGGATTAAAGGCATGAGCTATAATTCTCTTTTAGGCTGATTCACTCTTGTATAGACCTGGGTGACTTTGAACTCATAGAGATCCATCTATCTCTTAATCCTGACTCCTAGGATTGAAGGTGTGTACCACCACCTCCTAGCTTCTGCTGCTGGGATTAAAGATATGTGCCTGGCTTTTATGGCTTGTGGCTGACTTTGCTTTCTGAATCCTCAGGCAAGCTTTAATAAATAATAAACAATATATGACCGCAAGTGACACTGAATCTAACCTGCAGTTTAGAAGACAGCTGTGAAGATTGTGGGGGTGGGGTTCTGAGGAGGAGGCTGCAGTGGAAATGGGGGCAAATGGTTGGATTGGGCTATTTCTAGCTGGGGGGCCCCACACACCCCAAGGTAGCTATGAATTCAGCCCAATACAAAATCATAAAATTACTGAGAGCATTGTGGGAAACGTTTAGCTTTTTTTTTTTTTTTTTTTTTTTGGTAACTTGGTTACATAGTTCTCAGGCTTGAATTTCATAAATGAAGGTGTCCTGTTGTGATATCAAAACATTGAGCTTGTCTGGCAGAAAGGCAGGGCTTACTAATGGGTGAGTGTGGCTTCTGAGGAAACACATACTTGAGATGATCCCATGGTTTAGTTTGGGTTCTTTGCACTGAACAACTAGGCAGATGTTCCTGTTATTTACAAAGGGTGAAGAGGAAAGGCAGGAATAGGTGCAGGTATTTGAGGAGGAAGATGGTGATGCTGAGGGTGATGATAATTTAGAATCTCTGATTTAGAATCTCGTAACGTGTCAGTTAGCATTTGCTGTACAACAAGAACCTCTGGACCACACTGCTCTGAAAGGAGGAGCTGTTTGGAGAAGTTCAGGAGGGGTTTCCCCAGACCAGACAACCAGTCTTTTCCTCGGTTTCCCAGCCTGGGCCCCAATTACATTACATAATCTTTGGGACATCTTCCTTCATCAGAAAGTCTTTTTCAGTCAAGTGACAGGGTCTTGAGGCCACACATTGCTGAAGATAGCATGGGACTTGGGTCTCACAGCATCCTGACTCTCCGTGAGTGTGAGGCCCAGCTCCAGAGAGATGCCAGCCAGACAACTTCCAGAGCAATGTGGGATAAACTCTTCCTCATGATCGTCTCACCCTGGGGCAGGATTTTCCCATCGTCCTCCTGCCTCCCTTCCTCATCTGGACACCCACCCAAGAACCACCTCCATTTGTAATCCTTCTGTCCAGGGTGGCTACCATCTTCTTTTGCCCAGAACTGAAAGTGGATCCACGGATTTAGGAATTATTGTCTCTAAACTAAAACTGCCCCCATCACACCGTATGAATTGTCCAGGGCTGAGGGGTTTCTGCATCGGAGGACTGGGAGTGTAAGCAGGAGGAAACCCTGGGGAAACCAAGGCAAGCTTGCCATCCTGACTTCCCGTCCTCCCACCAGCTCAGGGTGGTTGGAGAAAGTGGCCTGGGTGAAACAGGGTCTCTGTCACTCAGCCTGGCCTCAAACTTGTTGACCCATGACTGTGATGCTTTCAATGAGAAATGTCCCGAATACCTGGTCCCCACTTGATGTGCTGTTTTTGGAGGTGGGGGGAAGAATGGAGATGCAGTCTTACTGCGTGGGTTTTGAGAATCCACAGCCTCACGGCACTTCCAGTTCACTCTCTTTGCCTCCTGCGCATGGTTGGAGGTATGCTCTCTCGGCTTTCTACCATGCTTCTGTTGCTGCCTTGCTGCTGCACCTTTCTGCCATGATGGACTCTTACCATCTGCAACTGGAGCCCAAACAAACGCATTCCTCCTGAGTTCCTTCTGCTCAAGGTATTTTGTCACAGCCACAGAAAAGTAACTGATAAAATGACCTTGAACTTCTGATCCTCCTACCCATATTTTCCGAGGGCTGGAATTACAAGTGTGTGTGCTTGGTGTTTGGCTGCTGTTTTGTGGTGAAGGCCGTGTGCCGAGAAGGGGGTGTTCATTATGTAGCTCAGGCTGTCCTGAAGCTCCCAATGCTTCTCCTGAGTGGTGGGATTACACCAGGCACATTTAGTTTACTTTTTGTTGCTATAATAAAACACTGATTGTCTTAGTCACTCTTCTATACTGTGAAGAGACACCATGAACACAGCAACTCTTAGAAAAGAAAGCATTTAATTAGACTGCCTTAAAATTTCAAAGGTTTAGTCCCATTGTCATCATGGAGGTAGCATGGCCACACGCAGGTAGACATGGAGCTGGAGAAGTTGCTGAGAATTTTACATCCAAATCTACAGGCAGCCGGGTGTT